CTCACTGGACAACTCTCTTTCGTCTATCATTTTATTGCTCTCCTCTTGACCTAAGTTCCCATCACTACCTTCTTCCTTTTGGATTCCTTCTCCACTAGACTCTTCCGCCCCTTCCTTTTGTGGGTTGTTCACCCTCGCTTCCTCTCCACTTCCAACCTCACTCTCCTGACCCTCCCTACCTCTACTTCTACCAATCATGCTGCAGCCTCTGGACTGGGATTGGTATCTGGCACACAGGACACAGAGCAATCATTAGTAGCAAAAGCTGAATGGACACAGTTACCTGGGTTTTGCTGGGAAAAGGGAGGGGTACTGGAACTGGAAGCAGAAGCTATCAGGTCCAGAAAAGGTGTGTGAGAGTCAACTAACTCCTTGGCTTGAGTCTGAGGTGTTTGCCTTCCTGGCTCTTTCGTTATACAGTGAACTCTTCCCTCGCCCACCTGTTTGTCCCCCACTGGTATATCTCTGTTATACTTCTGGGAAGTCTCGGATACTTCCTTATATGCATCTTGTCTGTCGTAGGGCTTTGGTAATGGATCTTCTGGGAATGAGCCAGGACTGTCACCCCAAACCTAATCAACGTGTTCAGTTCTGTTGAGAGTCTCATGATGTACAGGCCGTTCTGAACAAGTTCCTTCAGCTGCGACTTCCGTAAACATGGAGCTGAGATTAAAAATTGCTGCCACTTCCTCCACTGACAACTTGTCAAACTCGACACTTCCTATGCATGACAGTTCGTCAGAGTCTTCTTCCATTTCTGGTTCTTTCGATTGATAATCTATCCAGCCCTCGTCAATATTCTTGGGACAAATACTTCGATTGTTCTTGGGAGTGATTCAGGTTCTACCCCCTTGATCCTCACCTCCACAGCTCGATAATCTTGCAGCTTTATTTCCTCCATTGCCCCACCCAGCATCTTTACTATGCTTCCCAAGTTTGATTCGTTCCAAAGGTGGAAAGGAAGTCCAACCAGTTTTACAGAGAAACTTCCTCTGGTATGTGCCATTTCATTACATAACGGCCTCCAGTTCTGAATGTAAACCAATCCTTCTTCACATGCGAATGTTGTGAATCCCCTGTTTACCCCATCTTCAATTTTTAGCACCGCCTTCCTGTTAGACAACGGCTTCAAGGCAACCTCAGTTTCTAGTTTTAGGTTATGCACCACAGATTTCAATAGCTTCCGCCAATCCTGTATATCCTTGCTGGATGTTATCACCATTCTTCACTTCCAATCAACTTGCTCAGCCTCACACCAGATCTTCAACCCCCTATTTGAGCTTGCTATTGCTTTTCCGCAACAAACTGAGGCCTGCTTAAAGGCCTGGCTCGAAGGAATAGGAGGGCTAACTCCATCAGTCTGTTCCTGCTCACGCTTCTTATGCCGGTGGTTTTCAACTGCGGCAAGGAATTTTTGTAGCTCATCTGCAAATGTTGCCCATCCTTGTGTCTTCTTCCCTTCCGGTAAGCACATCATTTGTTTCCTGTCCCCAAAAAATTCTGTGATGGTAATAAACCATCCTTTCCTGTTACATTCAGCTCCACCTCGTATCTCTTCCTCTCCATTTCTAAAATATCCTTCCACCCTGGCTAAAATCTTTGGAGTTTTCAGATTTTCCTGTGGATGACTTGCTAAGAAACTGGAAAGAGATTGCTTCCAATGCTAGATGCAAGAGGACTCTTTGTCCGTTTTGGTCCCCTCCCCCCTCGGGCTTTATAAAGCTGAATTTTGATGGCAGCAGTGTAAGGAATCCAGGGCCCTCTGGGATTGGAGGAGTCTTCAGGAATGAGGAAGGGATTGTTATTGCTTTAT